TTCTTGACCCCAAAGTGGCATTTGGCATTTCCCTGGGCGCTTAAGGAAGGGCCACGAGAACTAAGCACTGAGGAAACCCTCCCTGCCCTCCCTCTCATGATCTGCCCGATTTCACAGAATCCGCATCACTGTCAGATGGCCATCGAGCCTCTGTTTGAAAAACTCCAAAGAAGGAGAGCCCGCCACCCCCCGAGGAAGCCTTTTCCACCGAGGAACTGCTCTAACTGCCAGGAAGTTCTTCCTAATGTTTAGCTGAAAACTCTTCTGATTTAATTCCAACCCATTGGTTCTAGTCCAGCCTTCTGGAGCAACAGGAGACAACTCCGCACTATCCTCTATATGACAGCCCTTCAGTGTATGGTCTACTAAGACCCCTAGATCCTTTTCACACATACTACTGCCTAGTCACCTAGGAGGCAGCATCCGCATCGAGAGGTGCCTGGTAGTAATGCTTTGCTCTGGAAGCCCATTGTGAGCCAGGTGCTCTTCTTCCTATCTAGCCTTGCTTTCCCGAACATGTAAAGCTGCCCTTGTGCGGAATAGGACCCATTGGTCTACAGAGCTCAATACTGTCTGCTCCAACTGGAGCTGAAACAATGCACGAAGCAGACTATTATATATTGAAAAGGAGGCAGCTGTCCAACTTTGGGCGGAGACGCAATTACTGAATTCTGTGCTGGAGAGGAACTCAGCAGTCCTCAAGCGGAAGCTTCAAGGGGAGATTACAACATGAAATTGTAGGTGGATTTGAGTTTATTCAGAAATTTAGAACAATAGGAACCACCACACACACACACACCCAGCTGACTAGGAACATAGGGTTCTTATCTCATTACAGATGCTAATTTTCTGTCCCTCAGCATTTCTCCCCTGCTCTAATCAACCTGATCACATTTTGCTTTGTACCTTTGCATCCCGAGTTCCTTCTTCACAACACTCTTCCTTTCTTTTGACTGGGATATAAGGACTCAAGAGATCTCCATTCCTTTCCTGCTTGTATCTGACGAAGGGCTCTCTGACGCTTGAAAGCTGCTTCTCCCATAATCTGGTTGGTCTTGGACTAAAATCTCGCTCTTCAGCAGTCTACAGTATTTTAATCTGAGTGCATTTGCAGGTATCGACATTGAAGGACTTTATACCAGATATGGCTCTGTTTGTCCGTCATCTTCAACAGACCACCTCACTGCGAAATGCGGTGGTAGTTGAACAGGTAGATATTTGTGAACTAATCTCCCCTCCTCCTCACAGCTAGGTGGTGATGACCGGGTAATCGTGCATAGGCAGGGGTGTGGGGCCGGCACACTCGCTCCTGCGCCCCACATGTTCAGTGAACGTGTAGGGCTGCTGCTTGCATCGGGCAGCATTGTACACGTGTTCCCTGTAATTTGTGAACAGGGCTGTTGTGGAACTAACAAAATTACATTATGCTAGTAGGGAAACTGTATGGAACCTCAACTGAACAATATATGTTGCATGTTTCTTTTCCCCCCTTCATTGATAGCTTCATCAGATACTGAGTGCACTATTGATTCTCTTTCCAAGTTGATTTCACTTCTCAGTAGATATTTGTGAACTAATCTCCCCTCCTCCTCACAGCTAGGTGGTGATGACTGGGTAATCGTGCATAGGCAGAGGTGTGGAGCCGGCACACTCGCTCCTGCTCCCCACATGTTCAGTGAACGTGTAGGGCTCTGCTGCTTGCATTGGGCAGCATTGTACATGTGTTCCCTGTAACAGGGTTGTTGTGAAACTAACAAAATCACATTATGCTAGTAGGGAAACTGTGCGGAACCTCAACTGAACAATATATGCTGCATGTTTCTTTTTCCCCCTTCCTCGATAGCTTCATCAGATACTGAGTGCTCTATTGGTTCTCTTTCCAAGTTGATTTCACTTCTCAAATGGAGCCTGTGAATTTCCTGGTGTATTGGATTTTTGCAGCTTCTCATCCCTAGATGGCGCTAAGACATCTTTGTCGTCTGAGCGCATGGGAATATTCTTCAACATTCAGAATGTGTTTTTAACAGTTTCCCATCTCTGCAATGCCAGCTCATAGCTGGCAGTAGAAGGAGGCAAAGTCTGTCATGTGCCAGGGTCCCACGAGTGCCTGGCAGCCCACTTGGAGAAGCAAGGAAGGGAAGAAAGGGCTCCGCCTCCTTCCCCCAATGGTGATGCTCTATGATTTCACCTCTGGCCACATGACCACGGAAACGTCTTTGGACAGCGCTGGCTCTTCGGCTTGGAAATGGAGATGAGCTTGACTGGCTTTCGAGCAAGGGAAAACCTTTACCTTTTACTAGAGACTCTGGAGGCCAATACTACATGCTGTCTACCTCCTCTCACAGCCTTAACCTCTAACATGTGGAGTGAGAAACAGAGAAGGGGAGCAAACTGGCGACGCCACTGCTGGTACCGCAACCAGTGTTCCCTCTAAATTTGGGGGGGGGGCACACCCATATTATTCTTTTCAGTATGATTTGTAAGATGCTCTGAGTCACAGGAAAAGTGGGATATAAATAGCTGGCTGCTCAGGGCTTGAAACTTCCAACTCACAAGCAATTTCCCCTTCATTGGAAACAATGGAGAATGGGGGCACCCCCTTCTGGGGCCTATAGAATTGTCCAGTCTGTTTGAAACTTGGGGGGGGGGGGGTTTGAGGGGAGGGCCCAGCAG